CTCTAACCCAGGACGTGTGAGTGCGCCAGCATGGCATGCCTCCCGCCAGTTTGCCGCCCACAGGCCTCTTAGGCGCTTCCCAAATTCAAAGTCCTGAATGGAGTCGAAGTGACAAACTTTGAAAATCTCCACGTACAGCATGTTGCCGGACCCCCTCGCCCTGGAACTCCAAAGTTTTCCGCCCTTCAGCATGCCTTGAAAAAAATGAACGTACACAGCTTTTATTCTGTCGTACATTGATACAATTTTGTTTACATGCTTTCTGTTCACAGCCTGGTCTATTTCTCATTCAGCCCGGGGTGGGCGACCACGCAGGGCCAATGGTAGGGAGGAAAATATGGGTCTATGTACTGCAGCCCTAAAGTAATACAAATTGGCATGAGACCTGTACGGGTGACCCGACTAATTATGCAGCCAGCTGTGGCCCGCAGGCAGGCCATGGCACCACCTGGCTGAACCCCAGCTGAGCCTGAATGCTTCGGAACTGCCCCTGGACAGGGCCTGTCGGGTGCAGCTGGGCTGGGTGGGTTGCAACCATGGCCACCTGACTGCAGGCACTGCTCTGAGATACGCACGGTGATGGCATTGAGGCCCTATAGTTAATGCACATTGCACATCCTCAATGACACTCCCTTCTTAGGTTCAAAATTGTATAGGAGACCCATAAAGCAATGTACTAGGCCTAATCCAGCCCTTATCTGTCAGGTGCTTAAGTTGTCTTCTAAGCTCATCTGTTTCCGCAGGGGACATCCTATGGATCCTGCCCTTCAGAACTTTACTCCCTGAGACAATCTCTATCGCACGGACTATCTCCTTGTCTACAACCCCTGTAGGTTCCTACCCAATGATCCTGTCCATCTCCTATGGGGTTTGTCCCTCCTGACCACTTGGAGACACGAATACTAGGTAGAGACCTTCTTTTTGATTCTTTCTGTAGCAGTTCATCAAATCTGCAGCACACAGACAGCCATAGGATTCACTTTTTCATTTGGGACTCTTTTTTGGGAGAGTATTTCCGGATCCGTACAGTCCTACTGGCCTGAATGTGATATAGCAGGGTTTTTAAGTCCCACTCAATCTGAGGTTTAGTTACCTCTAGATAGTACGTGCCCAGAATCATATTAAATGGCAGATCATTGCTTCTAATCTCGCCGTCTCCATAGGAGAAGGCACAAATCACTTCCTTAATGCAACACTCATGTTCGTCTCGTTATTATTATTAGCTACAGCCTAAAGTAGATAATACAGGTCTACTCAGCTTCTGCACCCGGTCCTGTACATGCAGTTTCTCAACACAAGAATGGCTTGTATAACTAACTGCATGTTGACCTGATGTCCGCCAGGGCCCTTGCTTTATGGCCATCTGCATCCATCTTCACCACGACCAGCTTTCCGTATAGACGTTTTGACATTACTACCCAAGATGCTAATAGATTTTCTTGTGAAGCTTCTACTTCTTGCTCTAAGGATTCCATCATGTCTTGAGAGCCGAGCATCTTCTGGTCAGGCTGTGACTGAGGGGTAGCAGAAGCATCAGTAGCCAGAGCCACGTGTGTGAGAGAGGTTAAGGGAGGCCTTCCTAACCCAGGAACCGTGTAATTCCCTGTACGCTCTTCATGCACCGGTGCTTGATGTGACTGGTCTCACCACACTTTGCGCACTTTGCCTCAGAGTACACACTCCTAGACAACCTTTCGTTGACCCATCCTGGGACAGATTTGCGCTTCTTCTTCCGACCCTTTGCTGGTTTCTTGGAGCCAGGTTCCTTAGCTTCCATACACCTGTTATGTGCCTGATTGAAACAAAATCCAACATGGCATCCACACGTTCCCATCCACGTGTGCAATGACAACTGGACTTGGAGAGAGCAACCCACACCAAACCAGATGAGGAAAATACACAGCAGAAGCACGCAAATACCCAAAATAGAATTGAATTCAAAATCAATTCTAATTACCGTCTCTCCCCAATCCAATCAGCAACACGAATTTTCCCAAGAATCCCAACCACATTATCAACACCCACGGACCAATTATTTACAACGTTTCAACTTTCATCGAAATATCTAGGAGTCTTCCTCCCACCATCCCCAAGCTCGAGCTATGGCGCCACTTCCACTTTCAGCACCCAACCAGACAAGCCTGCAAACGCCACACACCCTCCTGATTCCAACACGTCACTCTGCACCACTCGTGAAGCCCAGCTGCAGATGATGTGTCCACTCAGCAGGGGAGTGAAGCTCCCAGGATGAAGAAGAAGAACACCAACTCGATGAAGATGAAGGCCTGCCACATCGAAGAAGACTTCAAAGTGCTGCGTCGTGGCAGCTGCCCAAACCCCAACAGCGCACAAATGAGAGGAAGCTCTCTTCAGTACTTGGGTGCCTAGCCCAGTGCTGCCATCAACAAAGCTGCTCGGCCCCAGCTATGGCCACCAGCAGCGTGTGGAGATGATGCTGCCGTGCTACTGAAAAATAGCGCTCCAGCTCCAGCACGACCTCACACCCAGCTCCTGAAAAGAAGAATGAGCAAAAGGCACCCCGAGTGCCTCGCCAGCCTCCTATTTCTACCTCTACTTTGACCTAAGACAAACAGAACACTAAGACCTACGGGCCTACACAAAACAGCAGAATAAGACGAAAAGAAACGGCCTAGTGATCTAAGGCTGCCCAGAAGAGAGACCTCAGCAAGTGACAAGTACAGGGGTCCAGCCCCGCAGACCTCAAGACGCCGAAACTACAAAACTAAACTACTTGGAAGGAAGTCCCAGTAAGGAACAGGTCAGGGGATCAAGCCCAGTAGCACCCAAAATATTACAAAGCTAATCTACATAGTTATACAGACCGGTCGGAATATGCAGTTTATTGCACACCTACCACCCCTCTCTCATGACTACGTTCACCGCTGAACTCTCCATGCTCTCTCAGATCCAGGTCTGTGGGAAAATCAATCTCCTCATGATTGTTGTCATCAACATTATAGGAAGTGGTCTTTCTTCCTCCTATCCTGGGGCATCTTCTTCCTGCTGGCATTCCTTAGCTTCACCTCTAAATCAAGGGCCTTGTTACTAATGGATGTGAAGTTGTTCTTCGCAGTGCTGGCCTCACTAGCCAGAAGATTCTCAATGTTCTTTGGGAGTGCGCACAGACAACTCGTCAGGAGTATAAGGTCTTTTCTTACCCTTGGAACCTTGATGAGGCGCTTACTCTCTCAATCACTGCTCGAAGATTCTTGTCCTTGTGAGTCTGCAACATGGTAACCGTGGACACCAGACACTTCCGGACTGCATTCTGGACCTGTGTCTCAACTGGTCCAGACCAGCCGGTAATCCAGACACCACCGGACACCCAGACATTACCGGACCTGGTCAGTCCGGACTCACTTCTGAGGTCCTAAAAATGTCCCGACGGGGGTGGGGGGGAAGGGGGGGTTTGGACAGTCAACACTCACCAGCACTGCACTTCGGAGTTCGAACAGTTCTTGCAGCAAATGATGAAGTACCTTCAACTGACAGACATGCAAAGATGTAAACAGTGCAAAACTGGCAAAAGACTCAAGAGGGAGAAAAAACAACCAACTTCAGACGAGTTTAGAAAAGACTTTCATAGTCATCATATAACTTGTAAGTTTGAACTTTGAACTTTGGAGTCGTTGTCAGCTCTCTCTCTCTCTCTCTCTCTCTCTCTCTCTCTCTCTCTCTCTCTCTCTCTCTCTCTCTCTCTCTCCACTTCTGGCCAGTGGGATGTCTTGTGCCGTTTGTCAGCTAGCGGTTCTTCATCGGGTTCAATGTCCTTCTCCGATGAACTGCCATCTTTCTCATCGCTGCTGCTTTCATCCTCTTTGCCAGTGCCATCAGTCCGATCGCTGCCGGCACTCGCAATGAGCGATGGCTGCCTCCTTGGAGAGATGATGAAGTCGGTGGTGATGGACTGGAGGATGGTGCAGAGTGGTGGCAGCAGCAGACTTCGAACGGGCAGCGGCAGCAGGCGGGCATCCTTCCAAAACGGCCGATTCAAGTTGCCCTCCCGCCTGCCACCCTACCTCAAAGAGAGCTGTAGCTGCGTCTGGACCTGTAGGGCCTGTCTGGTGGGCCGGGAAATGGCTGAAAAATGGTCCCGGTATTTTTTGCAGGGTGCCCAGGACCTGAAAAACAGCTGCCGCTGTCTTTTTTCGAATTTTTTGTGGTGGTGGGGGGAGTTTCCGGACGTCCTGGACTGGACACTGGACCGGTACAAAATTTTCCAGACTGTCTGGATGCCTGTCCAGACGTCCGGCCGGTTACCATGGTCTGCAACATACGGAGCTCGTTTTAGCTTTCTGCAGAGTTGTCTGATTGTAGAACTCCTCTTCTACAAGTCCGATGAAATCCTCCAGAGGCCTGGTCCTAGCCCAAGCCTCAAAATCCCGCCCAAAGCCATCTGTTGCTACAACTCCATTCAGCCAAGCTGCTTTGGAGCCTTTCAGGAATGTAAATGCCACAATGACTTCCCTATCCTTTTGTGTGTCCGTCGTCCTAATTGGCAATTGGACAACGGTCACAAGTTCTCACAACCCTTTTCCAAGTATCTAAATTCTCATGTATTTTGTCCCCACTATAAGAGTCTGATTTCTCCAAAGTAGTCTTGAAGAAAGCAGGGCACGGTAACGGACTTGTAGTGCCCGATAGCAGTGTTGGAGCTGAGACGGCCGACACTGGAACTGAAGAAGTCTGGACTGCGACTTGTCATGCAGCAGCAGTACTGGATGGCCGAAGCATGCCATATTGGAACTGGGTTACTGGTGGTGGTGACACCAGGGGACCTGTACCACCTAGAACTGGTAATGGTCTAATAGGGGAAATAACTTCAAATAAGTGGCTAGGTGTGACCACTGTCCGAGGAGGACTCATCTTGCACGCCAAGCTTTGCTGAAACACCAGTGCATCACTTTTTCTCTTCTTTTAGCTGGTGGTGCCGGCGGCGGGAAGTTCGTGCAACGGCGGTCCGTCGGCAGGTGCAAAGCGGGCCTACATCCGGCAGGTAGGATGGTCCATCGACAGGTGTGAAGCGGGGCCTACGCCTGGTAGGATGTTTGTCATGTTGTTTGGCAGAGGAGGAGCGGGAGGAGGAGCGGGAGCAGCGGGAGGAGCAGGAGGACTGTGCAACGGCGGTCCGTCAGTTGTTTGGCGGAGGAGCGGGAGCACCGGGAGGAGGCGCGGGAGGAGGAGGAGAGGGAGGAGGAGCGGTAGGAGGAGGAGAGGGAGGAGCGGGAGTTGTCTGGCGGAGGAGGAGCGGGAGGAGCCAGAGCCACGGGAGAAGGAGCGGGGGGGTCGTCTGACAGGTACGATCTTTGTCACGTTGTTTGGTGGAGGAGGAGCGGGAGGAGGAGCGGGAGAAGCGAGAAAAGGAGCGGCAGGAGGAGCATGCAACGGCGGTCCATCGATTGTTTGGCGGAGGAGGAGCGGGGGAAGGAGGGGAAGCCTTTTTTTCTTTCTTTTTTTTCGTAGGAGATGGCTATGGAGGGATGTTTGTCACATTGTTTTGCAGAGGAGCGGGAGAAGGAGCGGGAGGAGGAGGTGCGGCAGGAGCAGCGCCAGGAGGAGCGGGAGGAGGGGCAGGAGAAGGAGCGCGAGGGGAAACAGGAAGGGGTGGAGGAGGTGCGGAAGGAGGAGCGGGAGAAGGAGCAGGAGGAGGAGCGGAAGGGCAAACGGGGAGGGGATTAACGAACGCGAGGAGGAGCGGGAGGAGCGGGAGAAGGAGGAGGGGAACGGGAAGGGGCAGAGCCGGCACGGGGGGAGCAGCCTGAGAAGGAGAGGGAGCACGAGTGGGAGAAGGAGCGCGAGGAGCCACATACATGCGGAGGCGGATCAACGTGCGACAGATGGAGGAGCGGGAGGAGGTATAAGAGGAGGAGAAGCGGCAGAAGGAGCGGGAGGAGGAGCAGGAGGAGCGGGAGGAGGGACGGGGGAGAGAGCAGGAGAACCAACCGGAGGAGGAGGAGCGGGAGGAGCAGCAGGAGGGGGAGCGGGAGAAGGGGAGGGAGGAGGAGCGGGAGGAGGAGCGAGAGGAGCGGGAGCCTTTTTTCTTTTTTTTTCGTAGGAGATGGCTAGTGGGGGATCTTTGTCACGTTGTTTGGCGGAGGAGCAGGAGGAGGAGCGGGAGCAGCGGAAGGAGGAGCTGGAGGAGGAGCGGGAGTGGGAGGAGGAGTGGGAGTGGGAGGAGGAGTGGGAGGAGGAGCGGGAGAAGGAGCAGGACGGAGAAGTTGGAGAACGGAAAGGGGCGGAGGAGGCCCAGGAGGAGGAGCAGGAGAAGGAGCAGGAGCCTTTTTTCTTTTTTTTTTCGTGAGAGATGGCTATGGCGGGATCTTGTCACGTTGTTTGGCGGAGGAGGAGCAGGAAAAGGAGTGGGAGCAGCGGGAGGAGGGAAGGAGGCGCGGGGGGAGGAGCAGGAGGAGCGGCAGAAGGAGCGGCGGGAGTCGGCGGGAGAAGCGGCAGGAGGGGCTGGAGAAGGAGCGTCAGGAGAAACGGGAAGGGGCGGAGAAGGCGCGGGAGAAGGAGCGGGCATTCTGTTGCTGTCTCTCGAGAGGAAGGATGACGGTGGTGACGAGACACGGGAGGGGGAGGGAAATGGTGACGATGATTAGGGTGTTGACGAGGAGCATCTCAAGGGATCTATATAGATAGATAGATAGATAGATAGATAGATAGAGATAGAGATAGATAGATAGATAGAGATAGATAGATAGATAGATAGATAGATAGA